TTAGCCATGGCAGTTGAGTTGAACTACAAAGAGGGGCAGACCCAGGGAGCCCAGCTGAGCAACCAAACCACACAAAGATGCTAGGCCCAGGGGAGAGCACAGTGAGCTCTCCATGAGAAAAAAAAGTGTAGGGGGAGGGCATTCAGTTCTGGAGACATGAGTTGTCTTGACTGCATATGTTTTCTACATGTGTGAGTCACTACTATTGTACTCTTCATATTCTGTACCCACTTTTCCCATGGGTACCATGCATATCTGTGGGAGAGTATACCTCAAATTTATAGAAGAGATTTAAGACTGCACTGGTAACTATTACTAAGTCTATACCCCAAGGAAATAAAAGGAAATAGAAAAAGACCCATATGTGCAAAAATATTTATAGCAGCTCTTTTTGTGGTAGCAAAGAATTGGAAACTGAGGGGATGCCCATCAATTGGGGAATGGCTGAACAAGTTATGTTATATGAATTTGATGGAATGCTCTTGTGCTGTAAGAAAAGATGAAGGGAATAGTTTCAGAAAAATCTAGGAAGACCTATATGAACTGATACAAAATGAAGTAAGTAGAACCAGAAGGACAATCTACACAGTAGTATTATAAAGGTAATCAACCGGAAAAGACTCTGATCAATACCATGATCCACCACAACTCCAAGGGACTCATGATATAAAATGCTAACCACCTCCAGGTAGAGAACTGATGGTTTCAGAGTGAAGCCTGAAACACATTTTTATTTTCTTTCTTTATTTTCCTTGCTTTTTTTTTTTTAACATGGCTAATGTGGAAATGCTTTACGTGACTACATGTGTACAATAGGTATCATATTTCTTGTCTTCTCAATGGGTGAGGGAGAGGGTAGAGGGATGGAGAGAATGTGGAACTGAAAATTAAACCTGCTGTATTAGTAAAATGACTTTGTCCACTGGGAGTTCCTTACACCAAAGAAATCACAGATCCAATAAAAAAAACAAAACAAGAAAATGTCCTCAAAATATTTAAAGGTAGAGTCAATCTGGAAGAGTGAATTGAATTCCAGCCCTGAAGTTAGGAGGACTTATGTCCAAATCCTGCTTCTAATAAGTCCTCATAGTCTGCAAATCACTTAACCTCTCAGTATTTCAGGCAACCCTCTAAAACTATAAGTTGTGTATCTGCATTGGTAGAGGGTTTTCTCACTGGGATGAAACACCATTAAAATCACAGGTCCAGACCAAATATTTATACAGGGTTTTAAGGTTTGCTCTGTTTTGCATATATAATGTAATTTGATCCTCACAACAATCCAGTGAAGTAGGGTCGAGGGTGCTGTTATCCCAGTTTTACAGAAGAAGAAACTGAGGCTGAGAGAGATTAAGTAAGGACAAGGGCTGTTTCATTTTCACTTTTGTTATCCCCAGGACCTTGCATAGTACTGGCACATAGTAGACACTTAATAATTGCTTGTTGATTGATTTCGTAGAGTCACAAAGCTAATAAGTATCAGGATGTTTAACCAGAAATTCTTCTGCCTCCAAGTCAAACATACTTTAATAATAATTATGGATACCATTTATATAATGCTTTGTGTTTTATAAAATACTTTGTATATATTATCTCATTTGATCTCTGTGTAGCACCATCTCTGGGCTGTTCTTCCCAAATGAGCACTTGAAGTGGGTTGAGTTGGTTTCTTGGCGTAGGGTGACTATGCTTTCATACCAAGATTTTAGGGCAGCAGTTCTCAAAGTGCGGTCCAGGAACCACTGGGGGTCCCCAAGACCCTTTTGGGGTATCTGTGAAGTCAAAGCTATTTTTATAATAATACTAAGGCATTTAAATTTCTAATAAAGATCAATAGATATATCCCATGTAAAAAAAACTCTTGGGGTGGGGTCCTCAATAATTTTTTAAGAGTGTAAAGGGGTCCTAAGGTTAAAAAGTTTGAGAATCACTGTTATGGAGTGCTCTGTGGGCCGTGACTTCCCAAAACTATAATTGAAAAGCCCCTTGCCTCCTAGTGAACTTACCTTTAATAGATCAGCCAGTTGATACCATTAGTTCAAAGCAAAAACATTAACAAAGATGTCATAGAAGGGGGAGGAAAGGTAATAAACACTTAACAAGTGCCTACTATGTGCCAGGCATTGTGCTATGCCGATATTCTCTCATTGACCCTCACAATAGCTCTGTGATGTAGGTGCTATTTTATCCCCATTTTACAGTTTGAAGAAATTGAGGAAGACAGAGCTTAAGTGATTTGGCCAGGGTCACACAGCTAGTAAATGTCTGGGGCCAGGTTTGAACTCAAGTTATCCTGACTCCAGGCCCAGTACATACCTGTAAGAACTTCTAAATGTTTTGCCCTTAAACCTGAGGTGCACTCTCCTAGAGACACACATAGTACCCATGGGAAGAATGGGCACTAATTTAGGGTGTAGTAGTGAGGCGTACATATAGGGAACATATGGTACTAGTATTGAAGGGCTCATTATTTGTTTGATAAGCAATTTTTCCTGGACTGAAAAAAGTCTTTCTTTTCTCATGGAGAGCTCATACTGCTCTACCCTCCACACTGCTCTATCTTTGTTTGGGTGAGTTGCTCAGTTAGGCTCCCTGGCTCTGCCTCTTTCTGCAGCTTAACTCTCTTAACTGCTTAGCTCTCTTCTCAGCTGCCATAAGTCTCATTCCTTGAATGCTACTTCTCTGTGTCTATCCAGAGTGTTTATGCTTCTTTCTAGGACCTGCTTGATTCTCCAAATTTCTCCCTGCTGGTTGCAGTGTCTCCGACTGAGAAGGTACCTCCAAAGCTAGCCTACACGGCTGACTTTCACTACAAGTGAAAATTCTCTTCCTCCTTGCTGTTTTCTGATAAAGGTGCAAAGGAGTCACACTCTATAGATATGTTCCCTGACTCAAATGCTGAAATTGCTGTGTAGGGATGGCAGTTTTGTCTTTTTTTTTTCTATATTTCTTTTATTTTTATATCACCGGTATTTCCTGCTGCATCCTTCCTCCATTTTCTCTTTTTGTGGTAGCAAAGAATTGGAAACTGAGGGGATGCCCATCAATTGGGGAATGGCTGAACAAGTTATGTTATATGAATTTGATGGAATGCTATTGTGCTGTAAGAAAAGATGAAGGGAATAGTTTCAGTTTTATGATAAAGAATTTTAAAAAGAGGAAGAAAGAAAAAAAGATCTGCAGAACAAACTTTTAAAAAGTCTGATATATGCAGTATTCCACCTTTGGTGCCTCTATCCCTACAAAGAAGTGGAGGGATTTGTTATCTCATATCTCTCCTTGAGGGCCAAACTTGGTCATTGTAATTTTGCTCATTAAGTTATGATAGTTCCACTGTGTGTTTTTACTATGCATATTTTTTCATGGTTCTGCTTACTTGTTTTTTTCATCAGTTCATATAAGGCTTCCCCATGCTTTTCTCTATTCATCATACTTATCATTTCATATAGCACAGTAATATTCCATTCCACTCATGCACAATTTGTTTAGCCTTTCCCCAATCGATGGGCATCTACTTTATTTCCAGTTCTCTATTACCACAAAAAGTGCTGCTATTTTGGTGGCCAAGGAGCTTTTCTTTTTGTCATTGATTTTCTTGGGGGTACATGGCAGGCTTGCATTTGAAAGGCTGCTCGGACATGGCCAATCTTTGTTCTGCTTATTCAATCAGAAAACTTTTCATACTGCAAGGAGATGACAGTGTGTCTTTGTATTTCTTTAACATATTTAATACTTCATTACCTCTGTTATCTACCCCTTACTTTCTGTAATTACATCAACCAGCTGATGTGTGGGGAGAGAGGTTCCCAAATCCCTCACTCCCACTATACCTAAAACAAGCCTGTGATGTAAGAGGTATTATTATCTCCATTTTACAGATGAAGAAACTGAGGCTGATAGAGGTGGTGACTTGCCCCAGTGTCTAGTAAGCATTTGGTTTAATTTTTTTGGGGGGGGGCTAGGCAATGGGGTTAAGTGACTTGCCCAGGGTCACACAGCTAGTAAATGTTATGTGTCTAAGGCTGGATTTAAACTCAGGCCCTCCTGAATCCAGGGCCAGTGCTCTATCCACTGTGCCACCTTGCTGCCCCCTTGGTCTAATATTTGATCTCAGGTCTTCCTCACTACAAGTGCAGTGATTTAACATCTCTATCATTTACATTCCTTCATCTTTTCTACTAGGTCAGGGTGCTTCTCAAATATTATCAAAATTACTAAAGGAAATAGTGTAAAATATATCATTTGGGCTGCAAGAGACCTTAGAGATCACCTAGTCAACAACCTCATTTTACAAATGAAGAAACTGAGGCCCAGAGAGATGAATAGACTTGCCCAAAGTCATCCAGCTAATAAGTGGCAGAATCTGAATTCCAACCCAGGTCACATGACTTCAAGACCTCTTTCGTGGGGCACCTCTCAGCCTCCCTATTATTCAGGAAATACATAATATGAAAAGATGAGTGAGGGACAGTAGATGTAAGTCTTGAGTGTCCCATTGCTACCTAGTATACTGGAGTATTTAAAAAACAAAATAAAACCCAAAACTTGAGAAAGGCCTTCAGCTCATACTTCATGGAAGATTTATGGGAGGAAATTGTCAGAATCATACAGGATAAGAAAGCATGGGTAAGATGCAGTCTGCACTCCTGGGAGTCAGCACCCAGTTCTGTGAGTGTCACAGATCCATGCGGGTTGGGTAGGGAGAGGGGTGAAACACACACACACACACACACACACACACACACACACACAGAGAACAAGTTTATTCTCCCCTCAGGCCTTGCAGCTGGCTCCTGCCTTGGTCCCTCTTCCTCCAATTTCCCTTTCCTTTCTCAGTTCCCCTCCCTCCCAGGGAATGGGGGAGGGGTATGATGCTTGGCTCTGTGCTCCCTCCCCCTCCAACCCCCAGCATCCCCAGTTGAGGCTTAGGTCCTAATCCTCCCAACCTCGGACCAAAAAGACCTGGGCGGGGGGGTGGGGGATAAAAAGGTGGGGTTACCTAAGAGGAGAGACTCGTGCGCCCCCTCCCTCCTCTCTGGTTGTGGAGGCCTTCGGGTTATTCCCCGAAATCCAATCTTATCCGAAGGACCCTGGGAGGCTAGGGTGAGCAGAGCCCGGGGGCGGGGGATCCCCTCTGCCCTGGCTGGCTCTCTCACCCTTCCCCCCCACCCCCGCCCCCACCCGCCCCCAGCCCCGCTCCTCCCGCTCAGTTCCACTTGTGGTCTCCGCTGGCAGGGCAGGGACAGCTGCATTTCTCGCAGCGGGCCACTAGGAAGCTTGCCGGCGCCTCGCATTCTCCTCCCTCTCCCGCCCCAGTCGGAGCCAGAGCTGGAGCAGGAGCCCGGGATTGCACCTCGTTCCCCAGCGCCGCGTCCCAGCACCACCACCCCATCCCGCCCGTGGCTTTCCCGTGCCACGAGAGGCGGGACTCGCACTCCATCTAGGAGCAAGGGAGGAGAGTGGAGGAGCGCCCCTCGCTTGTCTTGGGTAAGCGCCCCCTCCTCCCCGCTTTTCTTTCCTCTTCCCCTCCCCAGGTTCGGCCCCTTCGCTGTCCTGCCACCCCCCCATCCCTTTCAGTGCCCAACCTGGGGCCCTGCCCCAGCCTGGGAGCTGTGGGGCGCGGATGGAACGTGGAGGCGGCGCGGGGATGAACGTAGCGTCGCGGATTGACTGCCAGTTCCTGTGGCCGTGGAACGTTCCCGGGAGCTCGCGCGGCTGGGAGCCGCGTGCCGGCAGCCCCCTCCCAGCAGCCCCATGCCCTTTCGCCTCGATCCCCTGTTGCCCGGTTCCAGCCCCAAATACCCAGGGATGTGTGTGTGTGTGTGTGTGTGTGTGTGTGTGTGTGCGTGCGTGTGTGTGTGTGTGTGTGTGTGTCTATGTATATTTGCATGGCCGGGTGGACGGACATAAGGGCGGGAGGGTGGTCGCGCGCAGGCAGCGCCGGGAAGGGAATAGAGGCCTCGATGGGGCCAGGGCCGTCTCCCCGCCCCCCTCGCCCTGTGCTCCCCGCTTTGTAGGGGCGCCCCGCACACACCCTCCTTCCTGCTTTCTTTAGGCCAGGGTAGAATCGGGGCGCCGGCTCAGTGGACCCGTAGAAAGGAGGGGCGTGCGATGGGGATTGAGTCTCCCCCATAGGGGAGGAGAGGGAAGGCTTCCTCTCTCCCTTGCTATAGGTCAGTTGAGCCCCTTCCCCCCACCCTCTCCCCAGGGAGGCAAATCTCTCCTCTGCCTGAGAAGGGAAAGTTCAGAGCTTCTGCCTCCTCCATGCTCTCTCTCTCTCTCCTATCTCATCAGCCTCTCATTATTCATCTTTCTGTCTTTCTGCTCCAGCTCTTTGGTGATTCGATTTTATTCAGGGTTCCCCCCCTTTTTCATTTTTCTCTCTTCTGCATTGTTGCTTTAAAAACTCTCCCCCACCTCTCAATATTCTGCCCATTTCTTTTTCTTTTTCTTAAAAAAAAAGCCACAGGAAACAAGCACCCCAAATGGAAAGGGGTGTAAAGGAATGTGAGGGTTCTTTTCTTTTTCTGGAGACGGGGGGGGGGGGGGGGTTTCCTGAATGATGTTTCAAGAGAGAAAGTAAGGTAAGATCCTGGAAAAACCTGTGTCCTCAGGTTCAGGAAGAGAAGTAACCGATATGGAATTCGAATCCAGGGCCCTCTCTGAGACGTTGGTATCCAGCTGAGCCATTGAGGATCCATTGACTGCTGCCTGCTTTGGCTCTTCAAGCTCCGGGAGCCAACAAAAGCAAAATCGTGGTGCCTGAATGAGCAGCATGCGATTCATTGCCTAGCTGCTTTCCCTGGAGGCAGGGGCAACGTTCACCAGATTGGGTGACCAGTTCCTCTCCTTTTCAGACAAACGATATCATCCTTTCTCCCCAGGATGGAGTTTATCAGGAAGCTGGGGAGTTATTTCACCCTCTTAAGTGGTCACCTTGGTCTTCTCCCCTCATGGAATGAGCAGACCAATATTTGGTCTACCATGTTGCCATGGGGTTTTCCTAAGGGAAATCCTGGCCTGTTTTTGTTTTGTCTGGGCAACAGGTCCAAGATGAAGGTACTTCTGGAAGAACCCAGGTCCCTTTGCCTTTCTAGCAGAGAGTAGAGTGTGGGGGTGGGGAGGAAAGGGGGGGCAGGCGAGGGTTCTGCCTTTTGCTGAGCAGGATTGCATGAGTATATAAGGCTAGCTGCTGGGAATGTGGAGATGAGACTAGAGGAACTTATTGTCCATTTAGCTGGTGGATTGTGAAAGGTTGCAGGTGAATACTCAAAGAAAGTTGTGTACATATTAGACCCTAGACTGTCAGGGATGGTTAAGATATGACTGCGTGGAGGCAAGGGAAATGGCAACATTACCATTGGATTGCCTTCTAGATTTTGTGGTTCAGCTCAGTCACTTGAAGGCAAATCTATCATAGAGAGTTTGCTTAATTGTGACACGTGAGCTAATGACCCCGTGGAAAGAGCTGGCATCTTGTCTCACACAGGGAAACTTTGTGTGTTACGTATGTGTGTGTGTGTGTGTGTGTGTGTGTGCGCGTGTGTGTGTGTTTTCTCTTGAACAGCTTTCTTCTCAACCCTGGGCTTCTGAAGAGGACTAGGTAGACAACGGAATGTTGACCAAATTCCCTGCCCTGGAAGTGGCTTGTGTAGCCATGACAGATGGCACCCCTCTCTGTATACCGTGACTTTCCTGTCTGTTCAGTGGGGTGGCTATGGGCACTCAGAAGGCTGTGAAATTATTGGAAGGGGGTGACTGGGGAGAGACTTGTCCATCTGCCACTGACTGTCCAAGAGAGCCAGCTCTGTCGCCTTTCAGAGTTTCATTTTCCTCATGTGGGAAATTGTGGTGAGGTCATTTCAGGGAGGAGGGTAGGTGATGACATCGAGTAATGTGTGCAAATGATTGGCAGGAAGCTTGTGAGAAAGAAGGAGGTTGTGAAGAGGGTTTGCCTGGAGGCAGGGGCTACTTGGGGTAGAGAGACTCTGGAGCAAAAGGAAGTTCCACATGGTGATCTAGTGGCTTCTGGGGGTGAATGGGCTAGGAGATAAAGGCCCTTCAGCACCCTGACCAGCCTGAAGAGTGAGTGAGCTGTCCTCTTCAGTTCTTATCTGTACCTCATGTACTCAGAGGCACGCTAGTGAACATGAACCTGTGTCTGGCTAGATTGCTGTTCTGGAATTTGACTTCCAGGAAGCAATACGTGTATCCGTAAGAGCCTTTGCTCAAGGCATCTGTCTGTGAGTTTCTACCCAGGTACTGAGCATCCCTCTCCATCCTCCACATTCCCCCCAGGGTGATTCTAGGTCACTTGGTCTTTGTAGTTAGTTCAGTACTGTGCTCATAAGAGAAGTTTCTGTTTGTTCATTCAGAATGCTTAGTAATCTTCCATTTTTGGTCCTTTAAATTTTTCTTTTTCTTTTTCTTTGTTATTTTTTGGACAGTGGCAAAAACATGTAAAGATATAGAATGGGGCTTTGGAGGAAGGAAACTGGGGGATAAGTTTTCACTTCTGCCAGTGACTTGAAGATGATTGAAGTTCCCTAAATCTCTTCTCTTCTTCTTCTCATACCTCAACTTCAAAGAGGAAATCAGAATCTTTTTGCTTCTCCTTCTATCTAGCTATTGCATGAGGATCATGGGTCAATGTGTGGGCAAGGAAACCTGAAGGAGATATCCAAAAGTTGAATACTGCTCTCAGTCTGTGTACAGAAGGGAAAAGTTTAACTGAGGGTCCCCCAAGGTGAATCTGAACTTTGAATATAGGGACTGCTCCTTTTTTTAATCTTTGCATCCTTAGCACCCAATACTGTGCCTTGCACATAACAAGTAATGTTTGCTGAATTGAGTTCTTCTGCTTTTTTCCTCAACATAATTAAAACTTCAATTTCTCTTCTCCTAGGGACCTCTCTGATTCTCTCTACAGATGGGAAGCTACACCACGGGGTTGGGGGGGGAATAAAAACCACTGCTGCTACTTTGTCACCAAACCCTATTCACACTTTCTAGGGGATTTCTCCCTTGGTCATGTTGCAACTGGAACTTAAAAGTCCTTTCAAACTCCCAGTTCTTCTTTTCCCAGAGGCGTTTGGTAGTGGTATTCTCATCTTTCACAGTGCTGTTTTCTTGCTGGTCTTTCTGCTCTTCCAAAGCATCCCATTCCATGCCCTTTCCAAACCTCCTTCAGTAAATTACACACCACTGACCTTTCAACTAGATACCTAGTTCACTGAAAGCATATATGTCCTTAAGTGCTGGCCCCAATGGTGTAGTGCTCCTTGTCAGTTCTCATGGTCCCAGGCACAGACTCCCTAGGATACTGCTAACTCTACCCCAAGTATGATTCTACCAAATTATATCTCTTTGCAGGAATCAGCCCCCCTTTTCTGCCACAAAATCAGTATCTGACTGACTGTTCCCTGCCCTCACCTTCCCCTTTTCAGACCCTCCTCTTCTATTTTTCTCTATAGACATTTGGAGATGTTAACAGAGAAAAGGGAAAGTCCTCCCTCGTGCCATCCCTCACATCACCATTTCCCGTCACCAGCTTCTAGAACAATCTCCAAGAGAAGGAAGAGGGCTAGCCACACTAAATCACTGCCAGCAACTTTCAGTCTCTTTTTGGATACCTCTACCCACAACCCCATATATTTTAAGATACATAGCCAGTTTCTCAGATATTCTGGACACTTATCCCCACAAGTTAGATGTTCTGTTTCAGTCACAAGACCCTCAGTTAAAATGAGCCCAGATAATTAAATAAATGGCATATACAGAGTAAATACAAGGTAATTTCAGGAGGCGGAGCACTGACAAACTAGAGAGATCAGGAAAGGCTTTATGTAGGAGCTGGCACCTTGAAGAGTTCTTTGGGTAAGGATGAAATGTATACCAATCCTTGGGGACCAGCTGGACAGGGACATGGAGACTGCTGTGAACTTGAAGAGCAACTAGTAGGTAGGCCAGTTTGGTTGGAATATAGAGTGCATGAAGGGGAGTAATTAGAAGTAAGACTGGAAAGATTGGATTCATTCATTTATTCATGGAAAGATGGGTGGGAGCCAGATTGTAAAGGGCTTTAAATGCCAGGCTGAGAATTTTGCATTTTATCCTAGAAGCAACAGTCAGCAAACATTTACTAAGATACTGCTTTGTGCCAGGAACTGTGCTAAGAGGAATACAGAGAAAGGCAAAAAATAATCCCTGCTCTCAAGTGCTGTGTAGGGGTGGAGGGAGGGGGAAAGGGGGGAGAGAGAGAGAGAGAGAGAGAGAGAGAGAGAGAGAAGACAGGAGAAGGAGGAAGGAAGGAAAGGAGAGAGAGAAAGAGGAAGGGATGGGAAGGGAGGGGGAGAAAGAGAGGGAGAAAAAGAGCAAGAGAGAAAGGGAGAGAATGAAAGAGAGAGGAAGGGAGAAAGGGAAGGGAGGAGAGGAAAGGACAAATTTGAGTTTTAGGAATTACAATTTGGCCTCTATAGGAGATGAAT